ACTGCTACATCTCCGCCTAATGACGTCAGGAGCTTGTGTGTGTGTGTGTGTGTGCACATGTGTGTATGTGTTTATTTTCACAGTTTGAGTGCCAAGTAGGGAAATGAGTAACAGGAAGAGAGGCTCAAAAAGAAGAAGTACCTGTTTCTCTCAGAACAGCTTCTACTGAGCAGTAAGGCCTACAGAAGAGAGAACCTGCCTGACACCTGCTCAGCCAACAGTTCCTGCACATTGTGCTTAATGCCTGTCACTTTTAACTTTCATCAGAGTTTTTATTAATTGCGAAATATCTCGAGAGGCAGAGCAGTGTTAAAGACTTAAAGTTCATCAGAGATTTGGATGCTGAAAATGCATCATGTCTTTGAGAGGGAGATTGTACTGCAGGAGCACAAGAGGAAGCTAAACTGGCGTGAATAATGTACCTTGAGTAGTGTCAGGGTAACTAACCCTGATAGCAAAGCAGCACAGCAAATCTCTGTGCCCAGCATGATACTTTGGCTAAACTGTTACTAAGTTTTAAGCCAGTTATCAGAGACTTTCTGGATGCTGAAACAATAGCTCAGCAAATAGGAGTGAACTGCCCATGGTTAGCTCTGAAATGAAGCCTGGTGATTTAACTTCACTAACTTTTGTTTAATCTACAGTTTCAATCTCAGCATTAGCTCTTTGCCTGTCACTTATGAGAAGTCCCCAACAGATGGGTTTATTTTATGACATCAAATACTTTGTGCGTATCCATGTCACCATTTGCACTCTGCTGACCTTTAGAGTCCACTGAATACAGTCAATAAAACATAGTGTGAGGTAAAGAGTTAACATTACAAGACAGGAAGTGGTGCTGAATTTTTTAGCTACTGTGTTCAATTATACCTCTCATGAATTCATGGAGGCTCGCATAAAGGTTCCAGTTTACCCCTTTCCTACCTCTTGTCACCCCCTGCTGTCCTGTTTTTTGAATATCTGAAGTTATTGGCCTTGCTTTTCCGATCAGTGTTTGGATACAACAAATTATTTTCCCTTGTTTAGAGTCTGTTTTTCCTCTCAGGTTTGTACACACATCACTGGCTGGCACAGTGCAGCACTGACCCTTTCTAGGACCTTCATGTTTCCTCAGGTGTGCCAAGGGATTGAGATTTCTGCCCACATATATATAAGGCAGAAGCCCTCCAACTTCTTTCAGGAGTCAGGTTCACCCATTGAAGACTGGAGTATTTCTGCATATTCAGCTTCTGACTATTTGACCTTAATCTAATTGCTTTTGATCTTTTCATAGGTTCCCATGAGCTGCTGCTATGTTACCGGAGGACTTGAAAAAGGAGCTGCTGGAATTTTTTTGTTTGTTTGCTTCTTGTTGCAACTTTCTCATACAAAGTAGTCATTCTTACTTTGAGAACACAGACCGCTATGTGACCATTTAAAACCACATTTACACAATGGAACCAGTTTAATATATTTAATAATCTGAATGTAGAAAAATAACATCTCAAGAAGAAAACAAAAGCAAGGTTATGTTTTTGTCATAATTCCCTACCATTGCAGCAACCGAGGTGAAAATAAGCAGATGATTCAAGAAAGGGTGCCAGCTTTGTTTTTACAGTTCCCTAGAAATTTGGCCTATTTTTTTTATATTAAATCTAACTCTTGATTGTGATGGTTGTTCTGTTGCCTCAAGGGCCTGGCTGGTTCAGAGTATCTCTGTTGTTCTATGCACATGAATTGACATACGGATTCAAACAGTAAGTGCCTGCTACTGCTAGCTTTTCTGAACCCCTGAATGTCTGATCCTAACCTTCTTGTGCTGAGGAAAGGGGCATCCCACGTGGGGCAACCCAAGGGCAAAGGTCAAAGTACACAAGTTCTAGTATTCTGCTTATACATCCTGAGCTGTTCACTAACTATACACACAATCTTGAGACTAGGGAAAGCACAAGTGTCTATAGCTGGAAACCTGGCAAAAAAGAGGCAGGGAATCCCAGCAGCAGGTACAGCTGGGCACTGCCTCAGCAGCGCCTTCTCTGGGGTGGGGGTGGGGGCCTATTCTTTATGGTTTTGCATTTGGGAATATGTCTCTCAGCTGCTTGGGGAGCAAACTGGCGTCCACAGTAGGTGCAGGCAACATAGTCTGGGTTTTCCATGGGAGGCAATGGAGGCAGGTCAGACACCTTCCCTCCCTTAGTGAGGACTTGCTGCAGCTGGCGGGCCTGGCACACGGTCTGGATGAAAGCCTCATGCTTCTGTTTCCAGTTGTTCCTTCTGGGTGGTGTCTCACTCTGCAGAAGGGAAAAGCAGTCAGAGCAACTGGGACCACTATCAGCTTCCATTCTCAATCTCGCATTTAGAGCCCATCTCAGGTCACCTGTCCCTGGGCATTCCTTGCTGATGTAAAACCCTCCCTGAGAAGCTGAGTCTCACAAAGGGAATCAACAAGACCAGCACCAAGGAGGATGTGAAGGAAATTCTGATGGAAACAACAGGACTTCTAAAGAGCTTGAAAGTAACCAGAAAAACAAGCAGTGGGGCCAAGGAACTGGAGAGGGTTGCTATAGCTGCTTTGCAGGAACAGAGCTGCATGTTTTCTCTGTCTTCCTTTTAAGAGACTGTGTTATTACCTGGATTTTCATTCAGCTCCCTGCAGCTCCTGATGTCACAGAGCTTTACTGCAGCAGAGCCAGTCTGCATCTTAACTACAGCAAGGAGTGAGCTTTCCCCAGGAGTACATCCTTAACACATTATAAAGACAAGACAGGACTGCCGGCTCCATCTATTAGATTTTAAATGGATCTATTTTTCCATTTGTCATAAACCTTTCAGAGGCAATAGCTGGACTGTATCCCTTAGCCCTGCATACATGTGAAGGTGCTCATGTCTCACTCAGAACTAGAAGCTGAGATGGACTGAATGCGAGCAGTAGATGTGGACCAAGGGAGGCAAATAGACTGCACATTACCTGAGGACTCCTTGCGCTCTTCCACTGCTGATACTGTTCCAGTTCTGTTCCTCTAGCTCTGGCCTTGCTGGAGTCAAACACTTTCCTCTTGGAGACTTGGTTCTTGCCACAGATACTCATGTGTTTCTCAAGCCTAGAGCAGAGAAACTTACGATTGCAGAAGCTGCACTGTCCAAGCCCCTCCTGCTCCACAGCATTGGCAGCCTGCACATACAGCATCTCTGCAGACAAGTGGTCACCAGAATCTTGGTCTGAGAGGGTGGAGCGAGAAGGGCTATGTTTTGGGGCCAGCTTTGAACAAGAAGCTAAATGCTCCATGGGTATGCTGTCTTGCATTTTGCTGTTATTGGTCACCAGTTGCTCCTTCCTGAGTTTCCCCACAGCCAGCTCTTGGGGGTGGTGAGTGGTGCCAGGCTTGGGGATAATGGCCTCTGCAGACTGTGCCCCACCAAAGACCCCACCACCTGGCCTCACTACAGCTCTGAAAGCTTTGTCTTCAGGGTGCCTTGCAGCCTTTTGCTCATGGGTCCTCTCAGCTCCACTGTCTCTTCTCTGCTCTGCCTTGATAAGCTCCTTCTCTCTTTGAACCCTCCTAAGTGTCTCCTTTGTTCTCCTCAGTTTCTCTTCAAGAAGGGCCTCTTTCTTTTGAATTGCCTCTTCTAGGTTCCTTCCATCTGCCTCCAACTTTAGGATGTAGGCCAGCTCTCTCCTGTATAGATGGGGGATTGATGGTTCAGGCTCTACTGCCCAAGGACAGAGTGCTGCAGATCTCCCTACTGGAGCCTTCCCTTTGCTCATTGAGCTTGATTTACTATTTGGAGTTTCCTGCATGTATGGGGAACTTCTGAGCTGTGCTGTGTTGACCACTGGAACACTCACACTGTTGTGGTGAGAGATTGGTTTCAGGGGATATGCACGGTCCACTCCTTCTTTCTGTCTGTCTAGTGATGTAGCTGACAGAGCACAGGCCTGCCTGGTGAGGTGCTTACTCTGTAGTCCAGCTGAACAGAAGCCTCCATGTCCGTATTGAGTGTTTTCTGCTGAAATAGCATAAGAACATCTTTGGCTCTTTTGGGCACAGGGATCCTTCAAACTTTCCTCTTTGTCAGTTATGAGTTCATGTTGAAAGTTGTTTTTCTGGTGTTTTAGCTGGGAACCAGGAACAATCTTAGTAGCTGCCACCACAGGAGCCACCGGTGGAAAAAAAGCCATTCAGTGCCTGAGAAAGAGCCTGAGGTTAGAAGCAAAGCCATTACAGCCTATCTTATCCAAAACTGGACAAATTTTCTCCTAATAGTCTATGGAGGCTATAGTGAGAGGTTATAATAAGTATTAGCAAAGGTTTTGTAACTTTTCTGTGTTCTAAAAGTCTTTACATTCCTTCCATCTAGGGAGCTCCCATGCTGCCTTTCCCAGTCCAAATCATTCATGCAGCCAGAAATAAGAAACACTTTTATTTCCCTTTCTGTCTGAGCCTTGCCTTATCGCGGTAGCAACAGAAATATGCCGCACTGACAGAGGAATTGTTACAGTCCCCAGGATAACGTGTCCCTTCAGTTTTGGCACTGTGATCCACCTGTGTGCCACACGGGTCTGACACGCAGGCGTCCGGCCAAGCTCGGCACAGTCTTCCCGTGGCTCGTCCTACATCCCCCGAGGTGTGCCGGGCGCACACGCCGAGGGGCGAGCGGGGTTACCTGCGGGGCCGCGCCCGGCGCTCCGCCCGGCCTCCCTCCTCGGCGAACTGCGTCGGCCCGAGAGCCCCGGCCCCTCCTGCCGCCGCCGCTGCTGCCCGCGGCCCCCGGGGCCCCGGTATGGAGCCGTGCCCGGAGCGGAGCCGTGCCTGGCGTGCTGTTGCCTGGAGACTGGCGCGAGACTCAGGATCGCTCCCTCGCCGCGCGAACGCTCCACCGCGGAAGGGGGCGGTGCCTGCGGGTGCCCCAAATGCATTATTCATGAGGGGGTGCTTATGCATTATTCATAAGGCGGCGAATGAGAGATCGGTCCGACTCCGAGCCCGCTCTTCATTGGCCGCAGGGCCCAGTGAGGCCTCGCCCCCAGCGGCGCGGCGCAGGCGCAGCGGGACGCGGCGGAGGCAGGAGGAGGGGGTGGAGGACGTGCCGCCATGGCGGAGGGCGAGGCATTGGTGTCTGTGGACTACGAGGTGTTCGGCAAGGTGCAGGGCGTGTTCTTTCGCAAGTACACACAGGTGCGTGCCGCGGGCCCGGGGGGCGGTCGGCCCTACCTGCCAGCCTGCGCCGTGCCCACTGCCAGCCCGTCCTGCGGGCACCTCCGAGGGGCTGAGCCGCGGGCGGGCGGGTGGGTCGTGGCCGCGGCCCCGGGCCGGGCTCCAGCCTCTGCTGCAGCGGGGCCGGCATCGCGGTGCTGCTGGCAGCCCGGCCGGGTTATGTAAGCATGGCTGAAGAGTGCATCTCAGCCCCAGTTTTTCGCGTGAAAGAATATAATGAGTAGTTGGGCGAATCCTGTGCTCCTTTCCTGCTGCCTGACCCAGAAACTTGCTTGGAGGCCTGTGCGTCACCAACAAAATTGGCTCCTGTATGTGAATGTTGGTTTGTTGCTCTGTTACAGTTTGGATAACCTCATTTTGCTCTGCATTGTCTTCTCAGGGGGAGGCTAAGAGACTAGGACTCGTTGGCTGGGTCCAAAATACCAGCCATGGCACTGTGCAAGGGCAAATCCAGGGCCCAACTGCCAGGGTGCGGGAGCTGCAGGAATGGCTCAAGAAGATAGGAAGTCCCCAGTCCCGCATCAGCCGAGCGGAGTTCAGCAATGAGAAGAAGATTGAGGCTCTAGAGCACAAGGATTTCCAGATTTTGAAGTGACTTTGTCCAGAAAGAAGCAAAATCTGGAGCGGGAGCTACCCTCACGGAACATTTCCTCTCTTCCCCGCTCGTTCAGTCAGCCAGTATTCAGCTCTAGAGAGTTTTATTTTACTACATTTCTAATTTATTGTTTTGCTGCACTGTAAGTCTGACGCTCAGCCTGTCACAGAATTCTAGCGGGTAGAGGAAGAGCTGTGCTGTCTTTGTTAAAGGGGCTGTTCAGGGGCAGAGCCTCTGTTTCTAAGTGCACACAGTGTGTGGGGTCATTCGTGAGTGGAATCTGTATGTGTAGAGTGTGGCGCTGACGTGAAGAAAGTCACAGGATCAATGTTGACACAGAAAATTGCTAAAAACATCATGTCTGTGCACTAAATGCCTGAGAAACAACTTACTTTGTTCACGTTTTCTGTAGAATAAAGTTGCTTGCAGCTCACCTCCTGTGTGGAATGGGTGTGTTGCTTGGGGGGCTGAGTGGATGGCAGCCCTCGGAGCGGGATCTCGTTGCAGATACCCGCCCTGGTGGGAGAGCGGGGTTGTCCCGAGGAGCCTTCCGGTGCCACTCTGCGGGAATGGCCCGTGGGAAGGCGTGTTTCCCACAGCCTTGCAGAGCTTCCGGCCGGGGCGGGAACTACAACTCCCGGCGTGCCCTTCTAGATTCCCCCTTCTCCCCCTCTTTCGCGCGCAGGTGCGCACGCGCCGTCGGCCTGTGGGAGGAGCTGCACGCGGGCCCGGCGGCCCGGCACGGTTGGTCTCGCGCCGCGGCGGTTGCGGGAGCGCCCCGGTCCGGCGGGTGCTGAGGGAGCGGGGCCGGGACGGGGAGCGGGAGCAGAGGGGGCTCTGGACGTGAGGGGAGGGCGCCCTCCTCAGCCCCCGGGGCCAGGGAGCCTCTGGAGTCCTGTCACAGCGGCGGCACTGGATCCCCAGAAAGGGCGAAGGCCACTAGTAAAGCAGTAGGCGTCAAGGACTGGGAAATAGTGGGTTCCTTTTCCATGAACAGCTTGCTCACTGCCTGACACCCGTTCCCGAGCCTGCTTTACTCCCTTCCTCGACAAGTAGCAGCAGATGCTATTTGATCAGGATGAGGCACTGTGAATTTATGTGGGGACATTGAGGTAAAAACTAAAGGAAAGCAGCTCTCTGCCCAGTTCTTGGTGATATTTATGCGATAGTTCCTTCTTCAGAATTACAGTAGAAGACTCTTGCTTGCAGGTCCTTTGAGTTTTTCCTCGTACGGTAGGAGTTTGGTTTGGGTACATTAAGTTTGAGAACCAAGTATCTTATTAGTGATGAGCTTAGATTCTGGCTCTGGCCATTTGCCCTGAGGGCACTGACAGAGCCTGAGCAGGAAAGTAATCACAGAGGAAGCCTCTGAATGTCAGGAAAACTAAGCAAAGTGTATTTATGAGAGTGAATGCAAAAAATGAAAGCTTTTTCAGGCCTTCAATTTGTATTTCTTTAATTTTATTTTTCCCCCTTTTCTCTCCACCCAAGGTGTTCTTTTAAGGAACATGGAGCAGTGAGCTCCCCACAGTTTCTTGTGTTTCTCATCTATCAGATTTTGACATGATCAAACCTTTGGTGGAAGATGTGCGAGCCAGGCTGCGTTCTGGAGTGACCGTCAGCTCCCTTGGCCAGTGTGTTGAGGAGCTTGTCCTCAATAGCATTGATGCCAAAGCAACATGTGTAGCTATCAGGGTGGATTTGGAAGCTTTTAAGATCCAGGTGGTGGACAATGGCTCCGGGATGGGGAAAGAGGACTTAAAGGCTATTGGAAAGAGGTACTTCACCAGCAAGTGCAGCTCAGTGGGAGACTTGGAGAAACTGACATTCTATGGCTTCAGAGGGGAGGCTGTGGCAAGTATAGCCAACATGGCCAGTGTAGTGGAAATTTCATCTAAGACCAGCAGGACAGCCAAAACCTTTGTGAAGCTATTTCACAACGGGCAAGCACTGGAAGTATGTGAAGCTGAATTGAACAGACCAAGTGGCGGAACTACAGTCACTGTGTGTAATCTGTTCCATCAGTTACCGGTGAGGAGAAAGTGTATGGATCCTGTGTTAGAATTTGAAAGAGTGAGACAGAAGATAGAGGCTGTTTCGCTAATGCATCCTTCTGTTTCCCTTTCTTTAAGGAACGATGTTTCTTGTTCTATGGTGCTTCAGCTCCCTAAGACAAGAGATGTATGCTCTCGGTTTTGTCAAATTTATGGACTGGGCAGATCCCAAAAGTTGCGACAAATAAATCACAAGTCTGGGGGATTCGAGATAAGTGGTTTTATCAGTACTGAGGGACATTACAATAAGAATATGCAGTTCTTGTACGTGAATAGAAGGCTTGTTTTAAAGACAAGAATACATAAACTAATTGATTTTTTATTAAGAAAAGAAAGTGTAATTTGCAAAGCAAAAGGCGTCCCTGCAAGCCGACAGGCTGGTTCAAGTCCTGGCCACCATCGCTGTGGGCCAGAGTTGTATGGGATCTTTATTCTCAATGTGACCTGTGCATACAGTGACTACGATGTGTGCCTGGAACCTGCAAAGACTCTAATTGAGTTCCAGAACTGGGATGTTCTTCTAACTTGCGTAGAGGAAGGAGTGAAAATATTTTTAAAACAAGAACATTTATTTATTGAACCGTGTAGTGAGGACATCAGAGAATTTAATGAAGGTAATGACTTTTGTTTGCACAACGCTCCAGTTCTGAAGGCCTCAATCCTTGACAAGAAGAGCATCCAAGAAAGTTTCAAGAAAGCATGTGATGAAATTGTGGATTCCTATGAAATGTGTACCTTGCAATCGAAAGATGTCAAAAGGAAGGCCATTACTGGAAAAAAAAATTCCAGTCTTACAGAGGCAGGTAAAAATGTACAGGAAAATGAAATCACCCCAAATCAGAAGACTGCTGAGTTATCTGACCCATTTAGAAACAATAAAGCAGACATTCCATTGCCCGATGAAGATGACACAGCTTCTGATTTAATTAAATCAAATACCTCAGAACAGGAGCCAAAATACTCTAACAGTTCCCAAAAAGCATCTGATACTCATCTGAAACCTTCAGAAAGTCTTCATTCCTCTTTCAGTGGAGGGGCCAGATCAGAAATAAGAGAAATAGACAATTGTGGTGACCTGCAGGATTGTGCTCAGAATAACATAAAAGATGTGGACAGCCACCAAGGCAAAGTAAGACAGAAAAGCAATAAGGTCTGTGTTTTAAATAAGAATGTTATTCAGTCACTGCCCGAGAGAGAAGACCCTACTGAAACAGCAGTGGGACCTGAAACTGTCTCTGGAAATTCAATGATGAGACACTGTAATGTAAGAAGAGGCAGGGAAACAGCTGAAGTGATAGGTGATGCCAGAAGAGAGGCTGTTAGTTCAATACCATCAAAGCTGTCCTCTACAGGCCTCATAAGATGTGTTATGCAAAGTGAGCCCCCACATGATTCTGAACAAACAGAAGCAAGTCTTGCATTAAACACACAGTGTAGGCCTGGCTCTGTCGGTGACAAGGATATTTTTGGCCACAAATTGAATGTTGCTATTCAGTCTTTAAATGATAGGGGTATTTCCAGTAATACAAATAAAGAATATACAGCTTCTTATACCAGAGGAGCATGCATGACTGATGGTAATAGGAACAAAACTTTGTCTCATCAGGTAAGGGGGGAAATAGCCATGCCTACTGCCACAAGTAAAAGAGGTTATGAAACATTGAATGATACAGAATTGCCACTGCCAACTTCTTCAGGTATTCCTCACAAGAAAATTGTTATAAAAAGCACTAGAAGGCAAATAACCGTGCCAAGGCCTCAGTCCTCTAAGAAACTGAGCATGACCACGCAGCTGGGTTCGTTAGAAAAGTTCAGGAGGTATTATGGGAGAGTCGAGTCTGTGCTACCAACACCCATGTCACAGCGAAGTGAATTAGATCTCACGGTTCTTAATTCACAAACTAATTGTGACTTTTCAAAGAATGGCAGCGTCAATCGTGGTAATTTGAGCACTTGTGAAATTCCACCTGTGGAAGGTACAGATTCTAATAACACTAGCCAAGCTTTTGGTTCTTTGGAAAAGACTTTACTTTGCAGTGGAGAAACATCACAGGACAAACGAACCCTTTGTCAGAGTCCTTTGACATTGTCTGATTATTCCCTGGTTAGTAAAAAAAACCCAAGTTGTAAAAGACCTTCAGGATCTTTATCATCCAAACTGTCTAGACTGAAAACTGACCACAAAGAAGTAGAACAACTTGGTGAACAATTCCAACAAGACTCAAATAGAAAAGATGACCGCTCTTTTGGTCTTGAATCCTCAAATAATGATTTTTTGTATAACACTTGTCAAACTTATAAATCCTCAGTGGAAAAAGTGGGAGAACGTAATGACAGTGTTTCTAAGGGGATTACGTGCTCGCAATCAGATGATGCGGTAGCAGAGTCTGTGGAGAGTTCTGTCAGCTTGTCACCACTCAGCAGTGTAGAAGGGGAATACACAGTCTCTTCAGGCAGTATTTTATCATTGCCTGCTAAAAATGATTGTACTAGCACAATCTGTAAAGATAAAAGTACATTAGATGAATCCTCAGAACAAGATAATAAAGATACTGAGGTTCCCCAAGTGACCTTACAAAGTAACTTGGAATTCTCTGCAGACAACGCAAGCACAGGCAATTCCAGGAGTGATTTGTGTTGTTCTGTCTGGCTGCAAGATTTTGATGCTTCTTCGGGTAAGACAATATACATCAATAAAGCAACTGGACTGAGCACCTACGGCACTCCTCCTAGTGAAAGATTTCAAGCTGCCTGTATTCAAGATATCACAACAATGGCTGTGAATGTTGTTTCAGAGAATGGTAAGAGGGGTGGGGGTGGTTGTAAAAATGGGATGAGGAAAAGTGTGTAAAATAATCTTGCTGACAGCGTCTAGGACTTTGTACTGAAATAGGCACTGCCTTACATGTAGTAGCTGCATGGAAAACAGGAAAGTGTTGGGAACTATGGAGACAGTAAAATATTAATGTTAAATATATAAAAGATAATTTTTAATAAGTGATTAAAAAAATGTTGGTATCACGTCAATTAACAAACAGCTGCCTAGTTATCACTGGGCATCATAACATTCACTGTGATCACAGTTATGTGTACTTGTTGTCATATATAATGTGAGAAACATATTTCAAAGTAAATATACCAGAAAAATACTGTGGTTTTTACTGTTTTGTCCTAAACAGTTATGTTTCTGAGGATATGTTCTTGCAGAGACTTGTATTAAAATGATCTTTTTTCAGTTTGCAGATAAAATTTAAAGCAACCCTTGAGAGGTGAACAAAAATCTAACTTCACTATGAATGTGTAGTTTCCTTTCCATGGAATTTGGAAGGCAGGCTGTTCCTTCACAGTTTGTAGCAGATGTTGTACAGCATTGTTGGTG